AAAAAAATATAAAGAGGATATTTACAAATGTTACCAGGTCACAACAAACATAAACCATCAGTTCAGACGGTCCACTACACACAACAACCACTTTTGACACTGTAAGTCCCGTGTGACAAAATGATGTACCGATACATGTTATGATAATCAGCCCCTGATTGTTTATCTGTATTTAGAATATTCTACTTTCTGTTACATAAACATTGGACTAGAGTTTACCTGAACTTTTGTGAAACTTCTAGAAATTTCCATACCCTTTGAGAATTCGACCCAGTAAATTTTGGAACCAATTCTCATATACAGTCAGTGTCGTGTCAGCAGCTAGTGACAGGACTTGGTCTGCTACAGCCCTTGGACTGCTATACCTATGGATTGCTAGTTTGGTACTTTGCTACTTTGGGTCGCAACAACAGAACAGCCACGTTGGACTTCTTTAATATGTTTTAGTTTGAATATTACAACCCAGGAGTGACGACCGGATATTGGAACATTGTGTCTTGTGTTTATACTTTGTGGTTAGTAATACAGGACATCACTGGGACACATTCATCATTCATCAATGTGTAGTTTGTGTTTTTGTAATAAATAATTACTAGTGACATATGTTTTGATGCACTAGGAAAATTAATATTTCTCATATTGCTGAAGTTCACATTTGTATAACTAACCCTCACGTTGTACTTTTCCCGCTGCTTCTGTTGAACAACTGTGCTGTCCTTGATGCACACAGATGTATCATGTTTTGACAGTTTTGACTCACTCTCCAAGGTCCCACGCAGCAACATGCAACAAGCAACGTGTCTCGGCCTTGAGCGCTGATTGGTTGAGAGTGAGACTGCACGCACTGAACATGCTGAACAATGACTAATAAAAGCTTGCTTACCTCAGCACTCTTTGGTACTCTCCTGCAGACAGCCTGTTGATTCTCTCTGTACGTCCTGTACCGTGAAACTTCCAATAAATAATAACCAAAAGACAACTACGGTTTCTCTGGACAAACGTTATTAACAGAAAATTGCCTAAACGATGTGTTTTCTGGCTCACACACCAATTATTCTAAAATATTCTAGAACATTCCCCTACATTATTTGTGCAGTGTTACTGACTGTTAAGTGGCCTGTCACACCCATCACTGAGATGCCAACAAGTGACACAGTAGAGACATATGTGCCCCCTCCAACTGATCCTGATTTATGGCCAGCACACATTTTAGATGCCGATTGTCTGGAATTTGTAGGGAGAGATCCTTTCAAAGTGAAGCCTGATTTTTCCAACAGTTTTTTTCTGCACCCAATGGATTTCATGTCACCCTTCAATTCAAAACTCTTTCAAATGGAGAGAAGGTTAATAGAAGTTAACTGTAGATTTTCTTCAGTTGGTTAACCAATATGAATGTTCATACTGCACTGCATGGTAAACACTGGTAACTTCTACTGTAGTAATGATATTTATCTCAGTGTCATTTGGTTTGCAGAAATAAATACTGAACACTTTTGGATGTTTTCTGTTGTGTACTTCCTGTATGAGACTTACGTGCATCGTATCGTTTCCATCAGATTCACAATGTTGCTCGACAGAA